CTTATCTATGTATTTCTGCGGATGCTTGTGATGGGCTCACGAGTTGAGTAGAACGAGCGTGTGCATTCCATTGTTATTGATAGAAAAGCGGTAATTCTGTATAAACTACTGCAAAAACAATTCGCTGTTAATGGGCCACCAATGATTTTTTGCATGTTGGGATGTGATTATCACTGCTAGCTAGGTTGCGAATAGGCATTTCCTTTATGGCGAACTTAACTTTCCACTTAATACTTTGAATGTATTAATATTATTTATGGAAGCAACTGATGGAAGAGAACTTGGTAATAGTTGCTTATAGCAAAAATGAAACGCAAACATTGTTAATATTCATTGATAATAAGGATGTTATACGCACTTTTTTATTACGATTGATCACAAATTAATGGCTGAAAAATATAAGAAACAAAATAAGAAGGCAATATGCTGCTAAAGCGTAAAGTCACTGTGAAGCATTTATACCATGACTGGAAGACTGCATAGGCATACTTTCGGCGCATCAAAAGAGCTTCAATAATTCATAAGCCAGTAAGCAAACTGAACAAATCGTTGATCGAACAAATCATGAGTTCCTCGTAAGAGTTTCCTTGAAGATCTTCCAAAGGAACCCAGGATACGAGCCAAGTGCTTACACCCACCCTGGCCCCACCATGTCGGTTACATTTCAATTGGCATGAAGGCAATGGTTGTTCCGCATCGCTGCTCCGCCGCATAAACAAACTGAAGGACGGACGACGGACGATGCTGTAGCGATTGAGGACGATCGACTTGCGATAATGCCAAACTTTGCCCATTGCCTGTCATCGAGACACTGCATTTTTCAGATTAAAATGGCTTAAAACTTAGTTTTAGAAGTTGTATAGCGACACATTTAAAAATAAAAGAAGAAACATCAAGAACTCGGACGTGGCAGCTGCCATATAATATTGAGCGGACGATCTAATTCATATCTTTACCGATGGTTTCATTTCATCGAACAAACTCTCAAGGAACATTAAAAAAATGATAGGTTCTCACATCGAGACGCCACACGAGCAACGAACAGATAGAATGCTAATTTAAATACCATGGCAAGACAAGACGGTTACGTTCGCATTAAGCAACGAAATTAGTCATGTTTTTGAGGCAGGTGGCCGCTTTCCGATTATTTTTATAATTATTGAATGTGATCGCGTAGAAACCTCATCTCGAAACAGCGCGCTCAATATTCGCAGACCGTCCGATTGAAATTGCTTACATTTTACACTTGTAATTTCTAGCGTATTATTTTGCGTAAGAGTAAGAACTTTTCGAAGGTAGCTATGACAGTAAATAAAACCGCCGATATTAATTTGGCCTGCCCGATGAGAAGCAGCAATTTTTACTGGAGGTTACGAGAAGAACTTTACGAAGCTGGTCACGAATGGCTCCGAAATGCAGGGATCACAGTGCGCGGTGGTGTTAACTGTCGTAATCAACCGTCAAAAAAGTGAAATCACGGAAGCTTGAATATCTCAGCGAGCAAGAACTTATTTTGGAATGAAGAGATATTAAAAAAAATTGTTTAAGATGACATGTCAAGGTCCAAAGCCATGCTAATAAGTTTGATAGAATGGAAAGTGGATTCACTTCTATGATTTAATCCATGCTGCACACGCTAGGTACGCACAGTGCAGTTCTCGAAGGTATGCTACGAGTGTCGATTAAGAATGCAGCTCCGCGTCCGGGGAACGAAGCGCGGAGCTATCGGCACGTACGCCGCATGCGGACCAGCCATCCTGGGCTGGCGCTCGTCCGGGTATCCTGTCCGCTCTTTATTGCATCAAAATTCCTGGAGTTGGGGCAATGATCGTCACTTTCTCTTGCGCGCTCATTGAAATCGCTTTATTTCCAGGAATATCCCCGTGACAATAAATATTGGGGATCAATAAACAAGAGAATGTATGAAAATTGTACCCAATATCAGTTCTTTATTTTCAGTAAGCTGCGCTTCTTAAGTCCCGTGCACGCATTTGATGTCAAAGCGACCGACAAAATCAACGTTTATTGCTGACTTTGAGAGAGACAAATTTTTGAGTGTTTTTCTGAATATCGCCAGGAAACCAACGCAACTTTTAGGAGGAATAAACATCGGCTTAAGTATATTAGATTTTGTATAACGATATATTCGGAGAATCCTGTCGTGCATCCTTTGAATGTAATCAGGCAAACAAGTCTGTAAACAAAATGGGAAAGACGATTAAATAGCAATGAAAAGAATTTTCCGCTGAAATTATTTTCAATAGTTTTCTCTCGAAAACTTTTAGCGTCTCGGAGGAGTATGAGAATATTATTACTTGTTATTTTTGACTGGATGTATTAATTCATTATTTATGTTAACTGTCTGAAGACATAAGTTTAGAAAATCAGTAATGTTCATTGGCTAATAAACTTCCATGATAGCGGCGAAGGAGCAATTCTGCAGTAGTGCTTCTATACATGAAATTAAAATAAATAAAAAATATACGTTTAAAAATTACTTTTTAAAGACTAAAGACACTTCTAAAGAATCCAGTGTCTCCAATGTTAAAGATGTACAATGAATTTCTCATTTTATTTTTGACTATTTAAATAAATAACTTTTCAATTTTTTCAATATATACCTACATTTTTTTCAAAATTATTTATTATGTCAATTGATTCATGCATTGCCTCCGACTTCACACAAGTGTGCAAATCAATTGGACAGGTTAAAGTGTGTCAAATATCAGTCATAAGATTTGAAGCTGACAAAACTATTTTCTAATTTTTTTTAATATAGAAACATTTTTCTTTAATTTTCAAAATCATTTAATTTGTCATTTGATTCATGCATTGTCTCCAACTTTACGCAAGTGTGCAAAATTTCAGATCGATAGGATAAGTAGAAGGGTGTTAAATTTAGATTATAAGATTTGTAGCAGACAGACAAACAGACAAACAAGAAGTGAAGTTAAAGAGAAGTGTTGTAAGAAGTGTTGTAAATAATATACGTTTAAAAACTACTTTTTAAAGACAACACTTCCAAAGAATCCAGTATCTCCAATCTTACAGATGTACAATGAATTTCTCATCTAATTTTCGAAAATTAAAAAAAATTTTAAATATATATAATTTTTTTTTAATATATAAATTTTTTTTCAAAATTATTTATGCTGGTTATTGATTCGTGCATTGCCTCTGATTTCACACCAGTGTGCAAAATTTCAGATCAATTAGACAGGTAAAAGTGTGTCAATTATCAGTTATAAGATTTGTAGCTGACAAAATTATTTTTTCAATTTTTTTAATATTGAAAAAAAAAATTAATTTTTTTTAATTTCTAAAATCTTTTTTTTTTACATTTGATTCATGCATTGTCTCCAACTTTACACAAGTGGGCAAAATTTCAGATCGATAGGATATGTAGAAGTGTTAAATTTTGATTACAAGATTTCTAGCAGACAGACAGACAAGAAGTGAAGTTAAAGAGAAGTGTTGTAAAAAAGGAATGAAGTTAAATATAAAGATATTACCACTGCTTCAATTCTTTACAATACATAGCTTACAATAGAATTAAAATTCTTTATAGAATTACAAATTCGTTATGGAATTACAATTCGTTATAGAATTAACATTCGTTATTGAATTACAATTCTTTATAGAATTACAATTCATTACGATAGAAAGATTGCGAAGCTAATGTATCGCTCGATATCGCCGTGACATATTCCCTGCACGCGTTGGCGAAGAGAAGCGCTCGGCCTCACCCAACAGCCAGTAGTCGAGTAGCAGCTATTATTGGCTCTCACACATTTCAAATGCAAAGTTTATCTAATATCAAAACATTAATTATCATTGTCGTAGTTGGGGAAAAATTTGTATCAATAGAATAAACATACGGACAATATATACTCCAGGAACAAAAGGTATAAAGAAATAGGAAAATAAAATTTTTACTTAGGCTCATTAAATGATATAAAATATAATTATAGTTATTTGCAATAAGATTCTTTAATATAAAACACTTTAATTGGTTATAACAAGTAAAATGGAAACATTTTCCATCTAAACATAGGCTTTTCTCGATTTAAAAGGCAATTGCAAAGGTGTAATTTCTAGGTCTTTCAAAACTCGGAACTCCTACTCCACTTGTATAAATCGAGTCTTACGAACTGGCTAAAAATGAAGGTATTGGTTATATTTTGCGAGAGCATTAATTCATCTTCATGCAGAATCCACTCACTCGAGACGATCATTTCTGTCAACTTGGCAAAGCAGATTGTGCATTTTTCATTTTTCCTTTCGCTCAATTTTTGAAGAGCACGAGAAGTCTTCGGAGGAGCTCAAGGGCGTAATGATCGATGTTGTGTGGGACAAAAGATGAGCGAGGCGAAGAATGCTGGAGAGGAGATTCCGCTTAAATGTCGCGTGAACACAATACAGCGGAATATTACGGTATATAACTCAATGCTGCCGAACATTATGGCGTCGTTTTCAAGATACGTCAATGACTTAAAATAAGCTGCTCTCCCGAACACACAATGCAATTAGATTTACAGTGTAATGATAATACTGATGAAAATAATACATTTCAATGTTTTTACGTGTCATTCGATTTTTCTGAATTGATTCCTTGGAATATTTCAAGTTAAGGGCTTAGAGTGGAGACACTGATACATCATCGAGTAACGGCACGTCCATGAGGAGAGACGCTTATCATGACGTTTTATAGTACCTCTTCATTATATTTTTTTTATTCAGGTTGGTTGAGAGTCACTTTATTATTTCAAACCACCATTTCTTTCGTTGATCTTTTTTAGGTGATCAAAGACGATTATGATTTGTCTCCGTTTGCAAATTCTGCCTGATTTTTTTTATTCTTGCCCATTTTTCGATCACTTATCCACATCAAAATACGTAGTACGGTAGTTCAAATGAAACTGGTCGACGTAAATCTGTTATAGCTTACAATTAATTTATTTATTAGAATGTTGATTAATTATTTCTTACGTTCTCTCCAGGTTCCGCAGTTCCACCTTAGTGTTGAAGTTGCAGAGTACTGAGCTCGACATCGGCCAGAGTCGCTCGTCTTCAAATTCATGCGCCTGCTAAGTGGTCTGCAAAGTTTGATGGAAAGCTCAGAGACAATTTGAAATAAAACTAGACAGCTGGGCTCAAGTGTGCTGAGGTTACGTTCAAACACAGATGGGGTGCGAAATGTAGATGCCAGAATATAAGGCAAGCTGGCTGTATAACTTTCCAGTGACGACCTACTTCGATGTAAAAAATTTGGAATATAAAGATTCTTTTGGTTTGGAATGAACTTCTATATGTATAAATGCAGAAAATTAGACGAATTAGTCGTGAAGATATTTTTGGATTCATGAGATTTTTGTGATTACGAAATGAATGCTTGATATTTAACAATCTGGATAATTGTTGTATAAATGAAAGAACTATTTGAAAAATTGCTCTATTTGACAGAAGTCCATTTCATCCCGTATAAGAAGTTAAATTTAACAAGTAGTCAACGTCACTTATCAAGCATTGAAAGACTCGATTAAATATCAAAGTGAAATGAAAGCTAAAATTTCAGCGATATTTAATCTACATAGAAAGGCATTGATGACGTCTCGATCAATGCAAGATAATAAGAACGAAAACGAACAAACTCTGGGCCATGATACATTTGTAAACCGGATATTAAAAGGAGTGCGTGAAACTCAGGTTCCGAAAACCAAACTTCGAGTAACATCCCGTGCTGAACTGCCCTTAGTAAAGCCATGCAATGACACGTTAAGTTTGACGTATGTCGGAAAACCGCGTTTAGTTACTCGTCAATATAATACAGTTCACTTGGTTTTTATTATCGAGAAAGTTTTCAAGTTTGTGTCCTTTCACGCACGAAAAATCCTTGCATCATTTGCTGAAAGATCAAGTGTCATCGAGGACTTTAAAATCAAACCAAAACCAAGGAGTGGATCGAGAGGATCCATATTTGGCCCGCGCACCAGCTTTGCAATGGACGTAACTCGTCTGGTTCAGATGTTCTTCACAGCCCTCATGATCATGGGCGCAGCTACATCAAGCATCTCGGCAGAGGGTAAGTATAAACATTATTTATGTTATGGTGGTTGTTACTAGCATGAACTATAAATTTAGAGAAATGCGAAGAAAAATATCTTTCGATGTTTTTGTCCTGCATGAAAAGCTTTTTCCAAAATATTTTTTGGTACGAGGATCAAACTTGTGGTATCATCCAAGAATATTCTTATCTTAACTTTAACGCATATGAAGTTTAGTCAGAGTAGCTCTGATTTAACATGCTTTCTAACGTAAAAGAAATTTGTTTCTGAGGTGCTCATAAATAGAAAAGTGTTCCGGCAGTTTTGTCAAACGTGCCTTCAAATATGAGAAAATATTTCCAATATTTTCAAAATTACCCCGTAATTTGGTCAAGCATGTTCGAAATTACGTGCACTTCAAATCCTCTATCAGCTTTAGTTCAATAAACCATTCGTAATATCCAGAAATCGCCACTCATATTAATTTTGTCGTCAATGATAACCAATGTCATAAGTCATCTACAGTGTTAAACATAGTCGGACTGTAGGAAAATGTCTATCATAAAATTAAAATTTTCAGTATGGACATAGATCTTCGCCAGATTGATTTTCATCCTTCATAATGTTTATTAAAAATTATTTGGATTAGGTTTACAAATAAATTACATATTATCCCATTTAATTGACTCACGAGATGTGAAATTCAAGTTCCGAAGTATGTGTATAATTTTTCACAGTCAAGGCTTATCAGTCTAGCTTTGTTTCTCAGAGTAAATTTTGTAAAGATTTTAATCTATTTCTTGAATCAAACTGCATCGACAAGTTCTAGTTTAAAGAAGCAAACTTCCTCTCTTGATCTCAACCCCGCCCACCGGAACACTCGCGAATGCCCGACATCACACTGCGCACTTTACACGCCATCGCGGGAGCTGCTTGAGTGTCTCACAGCACTATTAGCATTTTTATAAGATTTAGTGGCGGTGGAAGGCATCGTTTGTTGCTCTGATTTAGGGCTGAGTTCGGCCAAACGACTCCTGGCAATGTTTCTGTGAGCTCTCACGGCTTCGCTTACTCCACGCAGCCCTTCGGGAGCTCTAATGGAAATAAATAGTTAGGCGTTCTCGACCGCCGCTGATCACTGACTCTTCATTTGCTTCCAGGAGATTCTTGGCCATTAGAAAACTTTCTCACACGAAACAGTTCCTTCTAAATTCAAAGTTTAATATGTTACGGTAAACAATTCATACCTAAAAATTGCAGCACTAAAATTTTGTTCCGAAAGAGCTATCTGGTTTAACTAGAAACTTACTCTGTTTATTGAAACATCGCAGGGATCTATCTGTGCTTGGTTCACGATCCGAGGGCATACATTCAGTGAGATTCTGACCTAAGCAACAGCAGCAAATCTTGCAGCAGTGCTTGGCAAGTGGCAGCTCGAAAACGGCTGTCGGCACCTCACTTAACCGTCCAAGTTGCGTTGTTTAATCGTACTTTCATGCTTCCACGACGACGCTTCCGGCCACGGGATAGCCGACTTTACTGATGGCAAAACTCTAAAATGTTTTGCAACTCCAAATATGCGACGAAAAATAGAATGCAGTAGCTTTGAGTTCTTACAGTTCTGGTCGGCCGAAATACAAGTACTACGGGTTCTGCATTGCTGGTATAAGAAAGTTTGTAGATTTTGAAGAGGTAGAACCTAAGAAGTCAGTCCATGCTCACGCTCGAGTAAGCCTTAAACAGCTCGCAATGTCTGCATGTGAAACACTCCGAATAGCCTCGCCAGACGCCATATTTATGACGACTCTTGAATCTCACCAAACAAGCGAGTTTCCTAAAAAAGTTATTCAACAGGACCGCTATAGTTCTGGCTATAGGTGTGAGCAAGAATGTAAATCTTGTACCAGTTCACAGATTGAATCGAGAGATCTGAAATAAAGATAGTACCAATCATTAAGAAAAAATGCTATCAATAAGAAAATAAAAAATAACTATCTTTTGCCGATAATTGTTAATCGCTTCGATTTTCTCCCGAATTAATAAAGTCCAGCCAATTTCCTCAACTGTGATGAATCATTAAAAAGACACCTAAGAGTAATTCAAGGGAGTCACCCTTTCTCGGTGATTCAAGAGACATTGCGACCAGAGACCTTAAGAGCGTTTTACAAAATTTCTCTATTTTCTCCTCGGCTGACCACACGTCCAAGTTTGCCGAGTCCCCTGAAAGTTGGCTCGACAAATGATTGTGTCCAGAAGTTGCATCCATTACAGCGGAACCCAACAGAATTAAACACTATCCCGGCCTTCACTCATCGCCTACAGGGGAAAATTGCTGGGTGAGGGAGGGTCTCAGGGCGCTAATGTTCTCCGAGATGAATGTGACTCAGTACACTGTGCCTAAATGGCTTTGCGTGCTAATGCAGGATGGCATTTTGATCCAAATTGAAATGATACTTAAGCAGTACTGTTATAATCAGTTGACATAATTTAATTTACTTCAATCACGGAATTGTAATGAGATCTTCATCTTATATCCTTAGGTGTAGGTCGTGGATTTTCCAAGAAACTGACTTGAAAATTAGAATTCGTTCATGATGCATGTAAAAGTATGTTGAACAAAATGATCATACGAAAGCGTTAGCATTAGAAGTGATAATGATCAGCCTGGCTCTTTTGTTGAGCGCTTTTGGATGCCACTGGAGTTTGGTGATAGAGAGACATCGATCATAGGGGTCGGGATCGGCAAGTCATGTCGTGTTGACCGAGGAGAGACAGGCTGGGTCCATGACTCTCGTCCTGACGAAATCTGTGTTGTCCCGCAGATCTCAGATATCAGGCTGTGACGTTAAAGTCGCAATATCATTCATTTTTTCCAAAGTTGTATTCATACAAATAAAATTTTGGTAACTTTTTAATCCTCTTTTAAATAGGAAATTGAGTTTAATGCTGAGCTTCACATATCTACGGCCTGGATGATCTAAAATTTTGACATGCAATGCCATGAACTTGAAATTTCTTTGCGTTCCACGATAAAATTTCAGTATATTAAGGAAGATAGTGAGAACGAGTGAATAATATGACGCTTAACTATTAAGCAAATTGAATTTTAATTGTAGGTAGTTCATTAATGGACGAAATAAAGACTTTGTTGTTTTACTGAAACATACAAATTTAACGGGTGTAATTATAAATAGGATCGAAAAATATTAATTTTATTTAGTATAGATATGCTCGCTCAAAGTTCAAAATTTTCAACTCGTAAGTTTTTCAATTATTCAAAATCTTTAATATGTTCTAAAATAATTGAAAAGTTTAAATGAAGGTAATTTGATTGTTGCCTCAATTGCCTCAATATGAAATTTTTGCTAAAGAATTGAACTCGAAAGTGTTGAGCTGCTGCTGCGATCGTTAGCACTGCTTCCTGGGCTTGGCGGCCGAAACAACAAAACGCTGACAAAGTCCAATTAATGAACCATTACTTGGAAATATCACCGATTGTGCAGCTCTGAAACCTTCTCTGACCAGCCATTCGTTAGATTCACTGCCCGTCATTTCTATACACAGTAGAGGGAAAAAGAAACTTTCTTCAGAAAAAGAACTTATTGAATAGTATACAAGGCTGGAAAATACTTTACTTGCGTTTGTAATTTAGAAAACTTCTCAAAATGTGAATTAAGCCCATTAATAAATAAAAAGAAAGAGGCAAGATATGGTTTTAGATTGGACAGTTCTTTGAGGGAACGCTGAGACTCTACACAAAAGTTACTCTTTAATGATCATTTTGGGAAAAGCAGATTTAAAAATGTTCGATAAACTCATTGAGACACGAATTGAATAATTACTCACTGCTGTTTTAAATTTCTTTAGGCATTGTTTACCTATAAATGATTTCAGTTATAAACTATCGAATTCATTTGCAGAGATAGAATAAGTTAAATATGTATACCAAAATCCGTAGAGTTTCAGGTTAAAGTTTTTTAATGATCATTATCTAGTGAAATGATTTATTAAATTAAATCGTCCACTGCAATCAGCGGTTCTTAAATGTCATACAGTACTCACTGTTTGTTGAAAATCCTTTTGACAAAAAATGTATAGTTATTTAGGAACATCGCGGCCATACAAAATTAAATGCTTACGATTAATTCAGCGTGATGAAAGCGGCGCATCAGCGTGACCAGGGACTAGGAAGTCCCGAACTCATCATAAGGTCATAAGGTTTCCAAATATCACATTCATGCAACATTACCATCACTTTCCTGAGACTAATCAGCAAAAAGACGAGTGATTACGATAAGCGATTTACCGAACAAACTATGCTCGTTTGTGAACCTTTGGCTCATTTCACGAAGGTCTGTAGCGATGAGGAGTCGAGCAAGTAGAAACATCATGCGCATCATTTGATGTTATTGCTCTGCTCTGTACACTACAGCCATAGCTGCTGGCTGCTTGCCAGTCATCCTTGCTCAGGAAACTCTGCTAGACTCGCTTGGCCGACCGGAAGGGACCGAGGAACAGGACACCCGGGCCGGTCCAGCTGCTGGCGCTCGTTGTTTTCTGGAAGTAATGCGTTTTTCCGAGTATTTCACTGCAGTAAAATTTTCGTGCAAAGATTTTTTATTAATTTTAAATTTGAAAATGAAGTAAATTTTCAAATACTCCGGTTTGATTGGTTTAGCGACCGAAACTGAATTCCATAACAACAACAGTATTTCCAAATTGGAGTAAAAAGAAATTTTTTCTTTCATAGTTTAAATAATATTTTTAATCCGAAATTAAGTAGAAGTGGAAGTGGTGTGAAATGACTGAACTCAAAAAATCTCGCAGGATTCTAATTTACTTTCGATGCTTACATACACGGTAGCTTTTCTCGTTAGCGGGAAAGTTAGGTTGGGTGGACTAAGGATCATAGAAATAGTTTTTATTTCCAGCGAATAACTATTCGCTAAGATCGATTTTTCCTGTGATCATAGTTTCATAGTTAGATCAGGCGATCTGTACGAATAAACTACAGATACAGATAATGTGATCCAAAATT